CCTGGAACAGCTGATCGGTCCTGAAATGTCACTTCTGTCCGACTTTGTGACTGCGATCTCACATTCCACAAAGTCAGATAGAAGTGACATTTCAGGACCGATCAGCTGTTCCAGGGCAGATCGGTTCTCCTGCACATACCATCTGCAATGGCGATCAGCCCTGGAACGGTTGGCAAAGCGTTGGAATTCTTCACCGGTCACACATTCCAACCCAGTCACAATCTTTGATAGCACACCGGCACTACCACTGCTAGTGAAAAAAAGGTATTGTATTGAACTCTAGGCAGACCCTGACCTTTCTACTGCAAATGTGGTGCGTTAACATGTACTGCAGTAAGGCAGCCTATTTTCTCGAATGGGATGACATGCACCACAATGCAGTTGGATTTGGAGCATTTTTTTTTTTTTTTTACTACAGATCACTATAGATCGTTCATATCAGTTTGTTGTGGTGCTGGCTAGGTGCATCTGAGTACAAAATGAATGGCGTCACAACACGCTGCGCTTAGTCTTGTATGATGCAGTAACATGCATTAAAAGGTTCATTTTTCTACCTGTTACCACACAGGTCTGTATAAAGCCTTAAACACAGAAAAGTAACTGACCATTAGCACCTCACATATAAAACAATATCTGAATTCCTCTACAAGACAAAGATTTAAGTAGCTTACATTATTCGTTGATCTTCTTTAAAGGCGCTAATAGCATTGTCTACTTCTTCCATCATTTCTCTAAGCTTCTCTACAACTACAAAAGAAAAGCAGCAGAAGTAGTCCTATATTCCAATTACATTACACAACTATGTACAGTATTAATAACATTATGTATTAAAACAAACCATTGTTAAGATTTACACACACTCTCAACTAGTGAAAATTGCTATTAGCAGACAAAAAAAAGAAAAAACGTGGCAAAAGACACAGAAAAGTGCATATTTATCAACATATCTAAACTTAAGGCAAGTATGTGCTGCTCATACCAGCCAAACAGATCTCCCCTTTCACTTCCCCACATAATCTGGAAAAAGTGACAGCTAAAAGCTTGTCTGAGTTCAGCTACTCAGGGCCGGTTAACAAAAATAGTGCATGCAGATTACTGTACCACATGTTCTGGTGCGGGCGATCGCACTACGGGCGGGGGGTCTGCACTGCCACGCCCCCTCCCGCCCCAGAACGCAGGAAGACTCCCACTATGCGATCCAGGACGCACTGGACATGGTGTGATCCCGCCCTTAGAGATGATGCCTAACATCTGTATTTATGTAATACAGTAAATGACATCAGTAATGGGCATACTTACATTCTGAAGTAGGCTTCACATCTTTTAACTGGAGTTGGAGTCGCTTTACAAGGTTATGGATTTTTGAAAGATGCTGCTGAGTTTTCATTTCTGTTAAGTAAAATAAAATATTATAAGGGGAAGTGCCATAAAGGGTTTAGAATTTATAGGATACTGATAAGCAAAATAAAATATTCATTTACTATAGCTCATCAATACCATTTAAGGATACCTGTAATGAGTGGACTGCAATCGTGGATCTCCTTCTGAAAATGCTAGCTGCATGGATTCAAGATTTACAGTGGCACAGAACAAGCATACAGTAAGCAAATTCAGACTGAAGTCAGAACTAATGATTTCCATCATTAGTAATTGATTCTAAATACACTGAAGCCTGAGGGTCAGCAGAGCAACCAAGAATTGGCTATATTTTATTGAATTAACTTATCTCTTTTAAAAGGGAAATTACAGCTTTTGAAAAAAATAAAATAAATGCACACCTTTTCATAAAAGAAAAAAATTGCTTTTATAATTTTTTTTGCATTTGAGCCAGCAAAGCTCTGCAACCGCGATCAGTAGGCTCCTGCAAACCCTTTCTCCCGTGCATGTTTGTACAGAGGTATGACTGTCCAGTAACACAGATGGGAGGAAGTATCAATGGATCACAAGTGTGGTGACATCACCGCACTGGTTTTCTATTGAGAACTACAAGCACCTCTGCCTTGGTGGCTGATGGGATATGTGGATCCGTGAAATTCAAATTTGTAAACAAGTATGTGGGGAGAAGAACCCTGAGATTCAGGTAATTGGGGTTGCGATCTGACCAGGGTTCATGTTATGCCTGAAAGGATATAACATGAAACATGGCCAGAAAGGTGAACTTGGTATTTAACCATTAGGAAGAGTTAGAATATCTGGACCAAGAGTAAGAATCATCTTACATTGCAACTGGTGAAAGGAGCATAGGGAACCTTGCTCATAAGTTTGTGCCAAAGTCCATATGCCCACCTTTTTCCATTTGGCAAACCCTGAAAGTTTAAATGCCTCCGGAAGTAGCTTATAATCCCAAATTTACAGTTAATATGCGCTATCTGTTCATCCTAGTATGTCTAACATTCAGGTTGCCTTGCTGGAGTTAATAGATAAACTATTACAAGCAAATTCTACGAAGGGGCTAAATTCCAACATATATGCCTTATTGTTGAATAAATTCCTATAGCAATTTCCTCCAAAGTGTAGACGTGGCTGGGGATTAGATATAGGGAGGTTAGAGGATGAGATATGGGAGGCAATTCAAAAGGTAGGTCCAAAGGGTATCCCTATTTGCTACTCATAGATTGATTCAACTGAATATCTTCCATCGATCTTGTGGGACACCTGAATTTCTTTTTAAGCTCGGTATCTGATTCAAAATGTTCTAATGTGGGGCGGAGTCGGGCTCATTGATACACTTGCTGTGGTGTTGTCCGAAATTAGTAAGATATTGGGAATCTGTATTAAGCTGTATAAATGGGACTTTTCCCAAAATCCCTTTTACCCCCGATATGCATTTTCAGGGTTTTTGACTGATCAGAATGGGAACTTTATAAAGGTGCTGGCTGTAGAAAGTGTTTTTTGTGGCACTTTGGGTCCTTGTACTTAAATGGAGGAGTCTCCCCCGCCCAAAGTGGAATGGGTGGCAGAAATGAACCATTTAATCGATTTAGAAAAACATACCTTTGAACATAGGGGATTGTCGGAAAGTTTTGTTAGAATTTGGGGAAATTGGTTGTCATCTACTTACCATTCTATACCTTTACACCTATTGTCATCCACATGATTTTGTATGGTTTTAAGGTATTTATATAATATCATGTTTTGTGTAAGATGAATGTCTATTTAACAAATCACCTGCGCTATTATGTTATGTTTTGTATAGTGATTTGTTCTGTTTCTTGTTTATGTCATTTTGTACTTGGTTTTATTTTGCTTTGTTCTTTTTTATTCTGTTTGTGGTAAAGCCCTAATAAAAATTATCTGATAAAAAAAAAACAAAGTCATCACTTTACTTTCTGATCTTCTGCCGTTCGTCAGCTTTTGCTCGTATTCTTCAAGCGAGCTGTACTCAGCCCGGAAGTCATTTTTCTTGTTATAGAGAAGACCATTTCTGTCTTTCTCAATAAGTGTTATTCTGAAAGCAGAAAGAAATTTACAGAAAACACACAAAAATTAGAAAGATGTGACGTGTACATAACAAAGCAATGAATATTCCTTTAAAAACACATTTTAAACTTCCGACTTACAGCAAGAAAATGTGCTAATTGGCATATTGTTTTCATCAATGCTTGTGTCCTCTTTTTGCTGCAAGACCAACATTGAGAAAAAGCCAACAAAGATCATTGACATTTTGCAGCAACAAAGTCTTTTCCTCATAAACAGCAGTGAATGATAACCGTCTTTGTATCCCTCTATCATGCCTTTTTCACAAGTCAATATATTCAAATGGATTCACCACAGAACTATAGACATACAAATTTCAGCATTCAAAAAAAAAAAAAAGTTCAGACATCAAATGTTCAACTACACACACTGCAATGATTCCTCCTGCCCCATGAAAAACAGAATAGCACACATTCAGCAATCACAAAATCAGACTATTTTTTTAAAGAAATGTATTGATTTGAAGGAGGAACAAGTAAGGTTAAAAGAGACAAGTGTTACAATAGACAGTAACATTTACAGCAGAAAGAATAAGGCATAGTGTATGCGGGTTGAATGACTGTAGATCACACAAATACCATGTAGAGAATAGATATTATGGGACCCACAATCAGCCATTCCCCAAACACTGTAAGATTTTGTAAGGAGTAGATTTGGTAAAATGTGGTTGTCTAGGGGGTCATACGAGGATATGTTATCAGGGACTTGACCATGGAGGTTGGTGGAAGTGTGGGTTCAGAGACACAGTGGTTGAAGGGAGGTAGAAATGTAAATAGGTGAGGAGACACTGAGCTGGCTTTGACTCAGTATGGGGCTTGTCAGACCTCTGAAAAAGAGATCATTGTATCCACACAGAGGGCAAGGGCCCCAACACTTTATACTGAGCTGAGCACTGGTTACCTTCTGTGAAGGCTGCATGTAAAAATGTAAGACAGATCAAAAATTGCAAGGAAACCTGACATTTACTTAAAAAGTTGAGCTTGGTGCCACATCTCACCCTCCCTACTAGTTACTGAGGCTACCCAACACATTACAAGACCAACAGGAAGGATCAAAGGGTCAGGCCAAGCTGGACTTTTAGAGTGAGTCACTCAGTTTACACCGCTATTTTATCATTGCCTCAGTTTGAATTGGCCAGGTTTGTGACAGGTTTCCTTTAAAAGGTCCGCTCCAGTGAGTTCAGAGGATTCTTGTGTGAAGGCCGTGGCCAATCAAGCCTTTTCGAGCACTCTTGCGCCATACTTATATACTTATGTTCACCTCCATAGGTGCTGTCCCTCCTCCATAGCCGAAGACATGCACATCTGTATAACAATCATTCATTAGAAAGAAAGCTTGCTTCCTAACCATGGCATGCATGCACGGCCAGCAGTCTACACGGCTGTAGGAAGCTGAAGATTAGTTCAGAAAAATCAAACGTCACCACAAAGGTTTGTCAGGACAAGGCAAAAGGATATTGGATATACTTGCCATCAACCACTATGAACTCTGTATTTGTAAATAAGTGACCACTTACTGATGTCTAAGTTTCTCAGCTTCTCTTAAAAATTCAGCTTTTTTTGCTTGCTCTGCTTTTATCTTCCAGTTCTGTACATTATACTCTCTCTCCACGCCATTGAAAAAACTCCCGTCATCCTGTGTAAACCACATAATGATAATGCGTTAATCTTACAACACAAACTTACATGATATTTGATATAGATGTGTTGGTGGAATCCAGTGTTTTGATTAAAGGAAACCTGTCATGAAAGAAACAAGGGGGCTGTCGCAGGTCACCTTTCCTCCTGCAAATGCTAGCTGCCTGTCATTGAACCTCTTGCATCAATACATCTGGGTCACTGACTTTTCCCCCCGACTCCTGGCTGCATACATAACTAGTATTTTCAGAAAAAGGGCACATAGAGTTCAATGTTAAAGTGACATTAAACCCTCAGATTTTTTAACATAAACCAATACTGTAATGTGTGCCTTACTGTAATCCATGGTTGTTTCCTTTCTCTTTGCTGCTCTTCCTTTTAAATCTGTATCTGTTCTCATGCTCTGCAGAACTTCTGTTCTGCAGCAGACTGCCTTGTCTCAGGAATGGATACACGGTGTCTGTGTATCCGTTTGTATAGGCTTGTAACCTGAGCCAGCACTACAGGAAGAGGCATTGAGCTGAAAAGGGAAGTTCTCCCCTAGCATGAGAAGACATGAGGATTTAAAGGGAAGAGCAGCAAAGAGAAGGGAAACTACCATGGATTTCAGTAAGGCGCACATTACAGTATTGGTTTATGTTAAAAAATCTGAGGGTTTAATGTCACTTTAAGGAACCAGTCTTACCAACATGATTACAACCAGCTCTTGGTCTTACACAGCAGGTGCTCCAATGATGGAAGAGTCAGGGTTGCCTGGTTTTTAAGAAGGTCTTTCTGAAGTCAGTTTGTAATGCTATATTATGTCATTTTACTTTAGCAATCATTATTTTGGCGATTTTATGAAGAACTGCTTCATACAAATAATTTGCTTTTCTATATGGGTCTTGGCAGCCTTTATTGTGTGCTGGACTAGCCTGTCAATCAGAAATCTCTACTGCTGTGACAACATGTGATGTAACACGTGTTTTACAGTGAATTTCCATAACACAACAGCTTTATGTGAAGTGTGCCATTCATGGTGGGTTGCACTCCATATACTAGAGTGCAACACCCAATGAACTGCAGCAGACATACCATGCATTATGGTGTGCTGGGTTGCTAGACAAAAAAAGGTCACTTGCGATTTTAGATCATTTGCAGTGTGTTCATAATAAATTGACTGTTCTAACACAATGCATATTAATACACCACTGATCACTAAAGTGTAAGTGGGCGCTGAGGGTTTGTCACCTGTGAGTAGTCCATGGGGGTCTCTTGGAATGGTCTTACAGAGAATTGTGGAGTGTAATGGTTAATCTTAGACCAAGGAACAGAAACCACTAAACAGGAAAGCCAGATATATTTTTTTTTATGTTAAAGTGACATTAAAGTAAAAAAAAATGTTCCCTCCCCCCCATGTTAATGTCAGCACTTACCTTAAATAATGTCTATTATTCCGATCTTCTTCTTCTTTCCTGATGTTTCCATCTGTCCCTCCAGCGGTGCGGCGGCTCTCCGATCCAGCGCTGACTGCTCTGTCCCTCCGATCCAGCGGTGTCTGCAGGCGGGTGCACGCGTCCATAGACTTACCTTGCGTCTCTGCTAGTCTCCCGGCCGAGAATCGGAACTGCGCATGCGCCCGCCCCAAGATCCTTTGCGGCTGTACGAGCAGTTCCTGATTCTCGGCGCGGGAGCGCGCAGCAATCACAAGGCAAGTTTAAACCTAGTTAAAGCGTTTTTTTTTAAACTTCTTGCCTATATCTACTGCTTGCAAGCAGTAGATATAGGCAAAAAAAAACGGAGGGTTTAGAATTCCTTTAAGGGCATCCATGCCGTGTAATGTATATAGGTCATGGCTGGACAAATGCCAGGAGCTGGGTAGTCAATGCTCCCTAAAAATCACAGTTGGCATCTAACATTTGAGATTTTTCTCTAGTTGTTGCCAATGGAACTGGCTCCTGGATTGGACAGACCGGCTCCTGAATTCCATATTAATTTGTCCTCCCCTGGGAACTTATTACCTCTCAAAAAAAAAAAAAAGAACTTAATACTCCCGCTTACAACACCTTCAACTGCTGGGGCCATCTTTGTTCAAGCATCATCCAGGATCGGCATCTACTTCTTGGACTGAGATGCTCATAGATGACACATCTAGTAAAGTAAATCCTGGTGTGTGTTCTGTTTCTGGCTGTGTGTACTCATTTCTGACATAGATCAGTCACCGCTGCATTCTCTCACCCTGTGACTTGCTGCAGTCTGATCACTGGGGGAGAGGAGACTGAGGAAATGCTTCTTCCTGCCTGCAGTGGACTGATTACACCGTCTCAGCCGGGGCAAAATCAATTGACCGAAGTTCAATGACTTCTTTTTAAAGTATATCTAAATGCAAAACCTTTTTTTTATGTTTTGGTCAGAGGAAGAAGTGTCAGTTTTCTTTGCTGCCTTTGTCCTATTGGGGAGATTTCCTTTTACTTCCTGTCCCATAGACCCAACAGGATGTGACAGAAAATCTCTCTAAGGGCTCGTGCACATGGGCGCCTGGCGACATTCAGTGTAAACATTGTGCATATTTCCCTACCTGGGAGTCACAGGTGCTGTGTACAGCCATCCACAGAAATCAATGGCTGCGCAAAAACATGTGTACAGACGTACATCCCCGGATGCAGGCAGTCTGCTTTTTGTATGTTTTTTTTTCAGTCAGTTCTATAGGTTAAGACTAGCAATGGTCCCTTTAACCCTTTCTTTGCTGTCAACTTGCCATATGTTGGCGGCGGCGGGCCCCTGTAAGCAGACTGTAGCTGCTACAGCAGCCAGGAGTCTGTTTATATGTGTAAAGTCAACTGTTAGCTTTACACCACAAGTGATTTAGGTCAGGCCTTCTTAAACTTTCTCCACTGGTGACCCCTTTTTTGCAGAGGAAATTTTTAAGGGACTCCAGCGTTGGTCGGTGTCTCCCCCATCCCCTAGCGTAAGGTCGTTCGGTGTCTCTCCTCCCCCCCCCGCCAGCACCAGTCACAGTACACAAGTACCAGCCATACCCCCCTGATGGCGGTCCTGGCCGGGTACTCAGATCGCGACCCCCCTGTTCACTTGCGGGACCCCATATGGGGTGGCGACCCACACTTTAAGAAGCACTGATTTAGGTGGCTGTGAAGCCGTTGGATCACTTCCATGGGTTCTGAAATGTATGCCACTCCCAGTCCAACACCCCCTCCCATATTTCCCAGGCTTCGCTGTGGCCTCAGGACCGCCATCGCATTTGGTCAGAGTTAGAGGTGTCAATTTTCTTTGCTGCCTTTGTCCCATTGGGGAGATTTCCTTTTACTACCTGTCCCATAGACCCAACAGGATGTGAGAGGAAATATCTGTAAGGGCTTGTGCACATGGGCGCCTGGTGACATACAGCGTAAATATTGTGCATATTTCCCTACCTGGGAGTCACAGGTGCTGTGTACATCCACAGAAATCAATGGCTGCGCAAAAACATGTGTACAGACGTACATCCCCGGATGGAGGCACTCCATGGGCTCAGAAATGTGTGCCACTCCCGGTCCAACACCCCCTCCCATATTTCCCAGGCTTCGCTGTGGCCTCAGGGCTGCCATCCCAGGTGTAAGCTGAGAGAAGAGAGGGGGACCATTGAACATCCATTTATTTATCTCCTCCGCGCTGAATGAACCCAGAAGTAATTATGATTTTGGCACTTCAGTTTCTGAGCTGTCAGGAAGCAGATCAAGCGGGTAAAGCCTCATTCACATGGGTGTGCACATCCGTACGGCATGCATGCCTGTGCAGAGACCTGCTCCCAGGAGGGTCAGTTGCTGTGTGCAATTGCGTGCAGCCGCCTGTATCTCCCAATGAAAGGATGTGCCAACCTGAACCTACACGTCTGTGCAGATCCAGGCGCCCACTCTTGGATGGGAACTGTCTGCATCTAAGTGTGGGCATCTGGATCTGCACAAATGTGCAGGTTCGGGTCAGCACGCAGTCGTGTCCTCTCATAGGGAGATACAGGTGGCTGCGCACAATTACACAGCACCTGACCCTCCTGGGGGCAGGTCTATGCGCAGGCGTGCATGCCATACAGATGTGCATACTCGTGTGAATGAGCCCTACCTCTAAACGGAAGACCTATAAAAGCTTTTAAAGGGTTGCTTATGGACAATTTTGGGTACCGTAGTTTTCTGCAAATTTCAGGGTGAACACAATTTTGAGGCTTCACATGTTTGGTATCTACTTGGCAGAACCTTATCTTTTATATTTGACAAAAAAATATGGGTAATATATACAGTACAGAAATATAATTTGGGTTTGACACGCCATACATGCAGACTTGTGTGACGTACAGCGGAGTATATTTCAGATCTCCCAGATTCCATGCTGTGTGCAGACAAGGTAACCTACAACACAATGAATGAGCTGTGAGTGCCCCATCCCAGGATCAGACTTGTACTGAGGGTGTCATACAACCCCCTACCTACACTGTATATACATTGCATTCACCGATCTGCTGAACACACATGTGATCACGTGCTGTGTGTGTATTACATCGCACAGAGGAGGACCTCTGTTACACTGTTATCAGACCCTCCATACCGCACCTCGCCCGCTCTACCCGCACACTCGGTTATTGCACGGCATGTACCTGCTGGCTGGCCTCCTTCTCCTTCTCCGGTGCGGTTGCTAAGGTGGCCATATTCCCCCAACCGTCACATGAAACTTGATAGAAACCACAACAAACCCCGGGGAGGAGCTAGAGGAGCGAAGGGGGTGGGAGAGGGAGGTGCTGAAGAATGGAAGGGGCTGGGCGAGGAAGAGCTGGAGAGGAAAGGAGGCGGGGTGGAGCTGAGCATGAGGCGAAAAACGGCGGAATGGGGAGGAGCTGGAAAGCGAAGGAGGTGGAATCTAGGGAGGGAGGAGCTGGAGGTGGGGCCGGTGGCTGCAAGGTGCATGCAGGTCATGAGCACTGTGACAGGGCTGAGACTCAGACTAGACGTTGAGAAGAATGGACTGCTGGTAGCTTGTGTCATTACCTCAGCACTATTATATAATGCAGTGTGCATATTAACAACAGTGTGGCAAAACTTTGCCTGCGTTCCGTTCCACTGCAAACGCAAAAAGTAGGGCCAGAACGCAGGGGGAAGATCGCAGTGCGTTCCAGCAGCTACCGCTCTGAAACGCACCGCTTTTGGTGTGAACAAGCCCTAATAAAGACCTTGTACTGCTGCTCTCTCCTTGTGCAGGGTGACTGGTCTTGTATCCGCCCCCTCATGTGGTTTTCTGCAGGTGTTCTATCAAAGTTTGTGACCACGTTGGAATGTGTACTATGGGCGGGAAGCTGTACCCGCCCATAGTAACCAATCAGCTTCTATCTTTCATTTCAGAGCTTAACTGAACAAACCGAAGAGAGAAGCTGATTAGTTACTATGGGCAACTGCTCCAGATTCAATCAGCTCCAGTTTCAATAAATTCCCCTCAGTGTATAGTCGTGAGGTCGTTGAGGAAGATTCCAATGCTGTAGCAGAAGAGGAGGAGGGAGCGCTGTGAGAGCTGGCTGGCTCGGAGCTTCAGGTGAGTATAACTAAGTTATTTTAGCACCTAGACACAAACGAGCAGTTAACCCTTGCAGTGTGTGGGTAGCCCCACTGCAAGGGCTAATAAACAGTTTTCTTTAGTTCTTCTTTATTTTCATTTCACAATGCTTTATATACATTTTTCTCACACATTTACATTAAGACCACACTGTCCAACACAAGTGACAGTTACAGAGGCTGGGACAAACTCTATAGCACTGCTGGTGTTGCTTGCTCACGTGGTTGCCTCCTACAACTCTCTATAGGTCACTGAAACCACTCACAAGTCAGTATTTGAATGAAGGAGGGTCTCAGGAATTAAGGGCACCGCACATACAGACATTAGTAAATGCTGCCAATTCATGTATTCATTTTTTATCTCTTTACTTAAAGGAGAACTATGGGGTCAGTGGTTTTCCCCATAGTTCTCCTTAGGGTAACGGGAGGACACAAACTAGCGTCCTCCCGTCACCCTAGGCTCAGTATACCGCGAGCTACAGCTCGCGGTATACTGAGACACCGCAGCCAGAGCGGATCCCGACATCGACGTCGAGATCCGCCCAGCTCCGTGAGTGACAGCTGGCTCTGCCTATCTAGAGGCAGAGCCAGCTGTACCCGCACCCTCAGTCAGCGCTGGCGGATCGGAGCGGGGAGAGGGGAATCCAGCCCCTCCCCCTGTCACGGCAGAGAGCCGTGACAGGATCGAGAAGTGAGTGAACGCCGGTATGTGTTCGCTCACCTCCCGATCTACTGAGCCGACCTGTGACAGTCTCATTGTCACAGGTCAGCTAGAACTATGAGGTGAGTGGAAATCACTCATGTCATAGTTCTCCTTTAAATGAAGGAAATATCCCCAAGTTTAGTCTATCAACCCATTCAAAACAGCTCAGCTACCGCATGCCATGACACTTCATTCCTCCCTAGCCTTGACCTCTAATATTACCTCTTATATTACCCATCACTATGCTGAACACTCCCACCCCTAGGTATACCTCTACTTCTCAGTAGACATCTGAATTGAGAGAGGAGATACATGTTCCTCAACTCACCCTCCTTTGCAGCTAATAAATAGAAATCTATAAATAAATGTACTGCCTATGCACCTGTCATTGGAGAAATATGGACACTGCTACTGCTTGGCATTCCTCTGGAAAGGCTGGTTGTATGGCAGTTCCTAGATTCAGTATTTAGAATTTTTTTTTGCAGTGTGTGTGTGTGGGGGGGGGGGGTCTCAGCAGTAGCCTTCTCTTTTTACCTCTCATGGCAATGGGATAATTTGTTCCTAATATGAATTTCTGACTAGTTGTCTTTCCCACATTCAACCACTAGATGTCCTCAGTGTGTGCAATGTGCTAAGAAGAAATGTGAGTGCAAATGATGTCAGAAAATGACATTCATTCCTTAATTACCCTGTCATTTGTAACATTAGATACCTGAATACATTTTGGCTAAAATCCAAAAATGGAAGTTAAGTTAAAACAATTGTGGACTGCAATGTTAGCCAAATTGGTTTTAGCTTCATTCCCCCAATCTGCCCTGCATACACTGTATGTCCAACATGAATTCTCATTTATTGATATGGGATATTGCTCCTGAGGAGGGAGGGAACATTATGGGGCTTCATTTACAGAACTTCCACATGGCACTTGCGCACCTAGATGGCACTAATGGGTATAGGGATTTTCCCAGAAGTTTTATAATTGAAGCCCTATGAATTCAGGCCTCACAATAAAATCAGACCCTCTTAAAGTGCACCTGTTCTGAAAGAAATAAGTTGGCATTTCTAACTTTTCAAAATGTTAGTTGTTGGGCTGTCATGCAGATACTCTAGCTTACATACATTAAAGCTGAACTCCATGAAAACAGCTAAATACACATATATATTAAAGCTGTCTTACCTTCTAAATTATTTACATGTCTGTCCATCCAGACCAGAGATTTACACAACCCCACAAGACAACACAGCCTGCCTAGTGACCTGCACTTTCTGCAGGTTAACAACACAGCATGGTCACCTCCCTGCTTCCAGCCTGTGACTGAACATGCAGAAATCAACTGATGAAGTAATCTCTCTGCTCTCCCCTACTGTCAGCACATGTGAATGCAGGACACCCAGTGCTGCCACTCCCCTTTCCACTTTGAAAGCTGTTGTACAGGGGACTAGGAGAGGTGAAAATCAAGTCACATTCAGATATTTATACTAGTTGCATTTAAAGTATATTTATTATTTGTAATGAATACAGAACTGTATACATTAATGTGATTTCACAATCTGACACGATCACAATCGGAGTTCAGCTTCAAATCAATGACCGAGAGCTCTTCACACTTACTCTGGTTCAGTGGTCCAGAAGTCCCAGAGATAATGGATGAGTATAACAGCTAGGTGACTAGCACTCTCAGAAATTGGTAGTCAATGACAGCCCATGTATACCTTTCACAATAAGTATACTTACAGTAGGGGTGCACTGATACCAAGTACCGTACTCAGTACAAGTACATGTACAGCTCCAAGACTAGACTAGAGAAAAATTCTAAAGTTAGGAGGCAGCTGTCATGTGTAAGGAGCACACTGAGCTCCTGGGATTTGTACATCTCTCTTATAATGTATGATTTTGTTTTTATAAATATAAATAAAGGTATGCACCAATACCATTTTTGCAAGTACGAGTACTGGTACATTTTATTTTATTGTCATGTGACAGTTTTTCTAAAACAATACAGACTAATGATTTTAGGACAGTGGTGGAGCACCAGAGCCAGGTCCCAGCTGCAACCGCTGCAACCCTGGTAGTTCTCATGAAAATGCCAAGTATCGGCACTGGTATTTGAACAGTATCGGTGCATCCCTAACGTATAGACAGTTGCATTACTGAGATAAGGGACATTCTGGACCGGTAGCTATATTTAGTTTACTGCTTTCCAGCATGCTGTTCTTCTTGTACTCAGTCAATAAAAGCTGAACTAAAGTTCCCATAATAGCAGGCGGCCTCGTGTCATAATTATGTCCCACTTATCTTGCAAATATAGTTCCCCCCCCTCTGTTACTCCATCTCTGGTGCTTCCATTTTCTCCTGGTCTTCTTTCGGGTTCACAGTGTTTGGTCTTCTTGATTGGCCAGCCCGGGATGACATATCTTCCATGCATGTGCACCCAAAGTATGTTGAGATTGTACATTGAGCTTCACATGCACGGCTCAATGTACAATGAGAGGAAAATTGCTATCAATCAAGGCAGAAGTGTTTATGGCAAATGAGACATGTAGTGAAAAGATGCACAAAATTAACGTTCTTGTATATTTTCTCTAGAACTCTAATGTATTTTCAAATTTCAACTTGTAATACCGTGTTATAGCCACTAGATGGAGCTGAGGAACATGGGAAATAAATATCTATTTATCATACTCCTCAGCTCCATCTAGTGGCCATAATGGGGTACTACATGTTTACATTTAAAAATACAGTACATTTGACTGTATATACAAGAACATTCATTCGTTCATCCATTCACTAAGAATGAACATTCAGAGATTTACAGGGCCAATGGCTCTGAAAATTGTTTATAAATAGACCCCCCAGAGTCCCTTCTGCAATAAAAGTCTACATTTATTTTAGATCCCTTAGTTATTTTTTTAAATAATAAAGTTTTTATTGAAATTAAAGTTTTTAACAAAACATACATAAGGAACAATGTAAACAAGTAGGTGAACAGGACCTTTTTCAGTCAATATTACATTGTGTACAAAAATGGAAAACCCATCAGGTTAAATAAGAGGGAGCAGGGTTTCTGTCTCAATCCGGATGCAGATGTCAACCTGTAAAGGGTGGTGGCCGGGTCCAATTTTTACCTGGGAGGTGGGGGGAGAGAAAGAAAAGAAAAGGAAGTACCGGTAGGTAAAAAGGGTAAAGGGATTGAGGGGCGGAAGGGTCAGGCAAGAAATAAGGGGAGGAAAATGGAAGTGAGTTAAAAGAGAACTATGGGTAAGTGTTTTTCCTTATAGTTCTCTTAAGGGTCACAGGAGGACATATAATAACCTCCTCCCGTGACCCAAAGCTCAGTATATCGCGAGCTGGGACCGCTGCAGCCGGGACGGATCCCGACAATGCTGTCGAGATCCACCCAGCTGCGTGAATGACAGCGGGCTCTGCCTATCTAGAGGCAGAGCCAGCTGTACCTGCCCCCTCCCACGT